TAGTAACTTTTTTTTTTAAAAAAAAAAATCAGCATTAAACACTACCCTAAAATTATGGTATTTGTTACTTTTCTTTCAAAAAAATCGTGCTACCTTAAAGAAACAATATTACATACCATAAATTTTTCGCTAAGTAAAGTGTTTTGTTTGGAAATTATTATATTTTAATTAAAACTAATTACGGTTGATTTAATCTTGAAATGGTACAACAATTTTATTTTTTTAATGTGCACCCTAAATTTATATATTTTGTGGATTTAATTTATGTAAATTTCGACTGATGCAAAAGTCAATTTTTTTTCTCTATTTTTATTAAAAAAACTGAATAAAATAAAATTAAGAATTTCGAATTAGGCAAAATACTATCACATATATCATTTACTAATTGCAACAAATCAATTATTTATTATAAAAATCGGATTGCATAGTCGGCATGACAATTTTGTAAAAGTCAAAATTCTTTTTTTTTTTTTATTAAAAAATTTGTTTACCATACAATCGAGAATTTTGAATTAGACAAAACACTATAACATGTATCTTTACCTAATTGCAGCCGATCATGTTTATTAAAAAAAATCGGATTACATAATAATCGGGCCATATTTCAAATTAAAATTTAAAAATCTATTATCATTTCATTACTACTTTCTTTCATTCTGACTTTCTTAAAACATAAAACAAAGTCATATAATATTAATTTGAAATTCAAAATGAAATCGGACTGTAAAATCCTAAAAATTTGGGTTTTGTTTAATTATCTAGAATACAAATTTGAAATTGATTGAATACACTTACAAAATAAATAATGATTTCATACACTTACAAAATATCGTATATTTTCTGCTAAATAATTTAATCGATTTATTTAAGACTATCTACAATCTTAATATAATTTGTGGCGATTGATGATGTACCAAAAGACCAAACAAATAACTTTGTGTACAATGATGTGTTTAATAATATATAACGTTACATTGTGTTTCATTTCAATATATGTATTTTACGTTCTTCCAATCATCCAAATTTAACTGCTTACCTTAATAAAACTAGCTCGTGCATCGCACGGGTACCACACTAGTTATCTAAAACAATATTATTACATAAACTCCTATAAGCATAAGTGGTCGGATCATAATACAGTTAATAAATGAATAGATATATAATATATATGGCTATATAGAAATAAAATATTATATTTCTAAACTATCTAATATCTATAAATGCATTTTTTGTGAGTTACTTCTATACAATAAGTATTTAATATATGTAAGTAAAATATGAATATTAAATAAAAATAAAATTATTTTTAATTATTAATTTGAAATATTTTTTTAAAATGATTTTATTTAATATAATTTTATCATTATCTTTAGTTTGTATTATATATTTATTATTATTATTATTATTCGTTTATTTTACTTGTTGGAAAGCTTAATCCTAAAGTGATGGTAATGAAAAAACCGTGCATTAGCTTAACTTGTTAATTTATATGCTTTCTATATACAAACAAGTTTTGTTTGATAAAATGAACTTTTTTAAAAATCTCGAGTTTATTAGACGAACCTTTTTAAAAACTTATCAAATAAACTTGTTGAAATTTTTATTTCAGCCGAATCAAACTCTTTTATCTTATCGATTAACTTTTTAACTATAAGCCACAAGCTGCCAACTATAAGCTCAAAATTTACTTATAAGTTATGACACAACTTATCACTAGTACAACACCCGTGTATTACACGGGCGCTTGTTAAAAAATTATTCTTAAATTTTAAAATTAGTAGAAAACTATATTAAATTTAGTTTACTTTTTTTTTTAAAAAAAAATATATTACTATATATTTTAGAATGATATGTGTTACTTATGGCTTACATGTGTTATATTATATTATTTTTTATAACTTATATCATATAACTACTTGAAATATAAATATATTAGTTGATAAATAATTTTATTTTTCTAATTAATATTAAAAATAATTTTATTATTGTTATAAAGATAAATATAAATTATCTTTTTATACATAATATGGATGTTAAATCGAAGCTCATCAAAATAAGATTAATTTGATATATTACATATGTAAAACTGATAAAAAAACAAAAGTTATTAACTTTTAAAAATATATATACAATTCAATAGTTATAATAAGAAATGATATTAAAATGCAAATTAATACATGTAACATGATCATAAATAATCAACATATTTATGGTAATCCGAATCTCATTATTTTTGGTTTGAAATTAAATTAAAATTTACTTAAGCCTAATAACGAAGTATGTAATTTTGCCATATATGATTCCGAAGCACCAGAAGCAGCCACGTAGACTCAGCGCGTTCTGAATTAATATATAGGGGTTGGGGGATAGGGGGATTTCAACTAGTTTTACAAAATCAGTGCTAATTATGTTGGAGCAAGGAGGCTGTCCCTATATATATATATATTCACACATCACAGCCAATCCCTAAATAGTACCAAATTGGAGCAAAACACTCCACAAACTCCCTTGCCAAAAATCCTTCAATTTTATAAGTGAAAATCACCAGTTCAGGATAATTTGCAGAACGGGAACGCTTGAATTTGATAAGGGATAATGTGAATTGAGGAAGCTGTTTTTGGGCTGGGTTTCAATTTTTTTTCCCCAGAATTTGTTTCCTTTCTTTTATAGATCTTAATTATTAGGGTTTATAGATCTAGGGTTTTTGAATCTGAATCCGCGTTATTTGTATCAATGGCGTTTCCTCTGCCAGTTACTGCTGCCCAGGTTGTTATTATTTTGTAATTTCACTTTTTATTCTTTTGATAATCTATGCAAATAACATTCTTGCTTGTATTCAATTGTGGGCTTATAAGTGTGTTATGAGCACAATGCGAGGAGATTGTGTTAAAAAAACCTGGTTTCTGTGACTAGTTTACTTCATTTAATTCTGGGATATTTGTATGAGTTGATATGTATGGATGTATAAATATTTTTGTTTTTTTGTTTCCTTTGATGTGAAATGTTATGCATGCAGTTGTCTCCTCTGCGATATACGGTAAATTCTGATCAGAAATGTGTTAATTTTGCTGCGAAACAGTGGTGAATTCTTGTCTCCATTTTGTGCCTGTAATTTGTACATGCTGTGGTTTGGCTGATGTTAATGTAGGTTTGGCCCTCTTTAAAAATTGAAAAGTAGTAGTTGAAACCCTCTTCGGTAGAACTATATGATTTTAGCTTCGTTGCATATGATGAAATCTTATAAGCCTTCCACCTGATTCTGTCGTTGATTTTCTTGAACTAGAGATTTTTTGTTTTTCTCTCTTTTATGTTTACATGAATTAACTTGTTCTGGAATCTATCTATCTCGATTATAAAGTTATTTCTTTCTTTTTTTCATTTTATCATATCTTTTTGCCGTTTACCCACTAAGATTTCGTTACTGTGATTTGTTACTATCGTAAATCATTTATTTTTTTACGATTCATCTTGATTATTTTTTGTTGACGTCTGCCTAGGTGGGGACATACTTTGTGGGGCAGTACTATCAGATGCTACAAAACCAACCAGAATTTGTGCATCAGTTTTACAGTGATGCAAGCACCATGCTTCGAGTAGATGGGAATGTGAGGGAAACTGCAACTTCAATGCTGGTAATGATAATCTATGCTTAAACAATATCTTTATTTGCATGAAATAATCATCATTTGAACTTTAAACTTAGTAATAAATGGACGTACAATGAAATTTCTCTTGTATAATAACATCATAATAGGCGGTACACTTAATTGTTGAAGCAATAGTTCTTGATATATTTGAAGCCTTATATTATGTCGAAGTGTGTTGGTTAACTGGCCGTTGTTCTGTTTCTATATTCATGGACCATAAGTGTGGTTCATTAATTGTTCCAAATGTTTCGAATATATACTCTTGCTAGGAGTAACCCCACTGTCGAATGATTGTAAATCTTGCATTAGGGTTGGCAGTTGATGTATAAGATCCCAATAAATGCTTATGGAGTTTTGTCTTACAGCTCAACTGGAATATATTTCATGACCTACTTGTTTCTTTCTGGCATTTTTCATGTGTATTAATCTATTGTCGGAATTCATCTTTATTTCTTCCTTTCATTTTGTTGTTATCCTTGGCAGCATATTCACCAACTTGTAACGGCACTTAATTATACGGGGATAGAAATTAAGACTGCACATTCTTTAGAATCCTGGAGTGGTGGAGTCCTGGTGATGGTTTTGGGTTCTGTTTGTGCAAAGAATTTCAACGGGAAGAAAAAATTCTCTGAAACTTTTTTCCTTGCTCCTCAAGAAAAGGGGTACTTTGTTCTGAATGATGTTTTCCTTTATGTTGACGAAGACCAAATTCTGCCACACCCGATTGTTTATTTACCTCAGAGCAATATTGATGCCAAGATCAATTCTTCAGCTATAACTCGAGAACAAGGTTCTTTTCTTCCGTTTTTAGTTTCGTTTTCATTGTGTAGTTATTATTCCAAGATTTTTGTTCATGTAGTTATTGCTAATATTTATAAGAAGTTATATGTTATCCTGTTTATATTGGCAAGTGAATTTTTGATAGATTTGCTCTTAAATGAGTGGATCTAGATTGGCTCTAAAAAGAAAAATATCGGTTCTGGGAGAAGATAATATTAATATGGACATCTTAACAAAAAAATAAGCAGACAAAGGGCTTATACTGTAATTTCTAATATTAATGCTGGAATATTTTTTTTCTTCCTCATAAATGCAAGTACAAGTTACAATTTTCACATGAAAGTAAGACGAAGGACATTCTGGTATCCTCTCTGAATTTCCTGATACTTTTTGCAGCTAACAGCTACATGCGAGGAGGAGATATTCAATCTCCAGAGTTTATATCCCCTTCTAAAGCTCAAGAGAATGTTCCCGTCAATAATTATGACTTTTCTGAAGAACATCTCAAGAAGGTGCCTGAAAAGGAAATCATTACGGATGATGATTTTGCTGTCCGTTCAAACGGCTCTCTCCAGGGAACCCTCAACCAGAATCCCGAACCACTGTCGTCCCCAGTAGAGGAACCCATTGTCGAGACTCAAAAGCATACATATGCGTCCATAGTACGTGATCACAAACAAGTCTTCAGGGTATGCATTTTGAAAAAAGATGAATTTGTTACTCATCATTATAATTATTTCCTTTGCTTTGTGATTGGAAAGTTACAGGTTGCTAAAGGTCAAAATGCGCATAACAAGATTGCTAATGTGGAGATCCCTCACGTGCATGAAAACCCAAGCCAACCGCCTGTTATGCCGCCAAGCCAGGTTGAGAATTCACAAGTGGAGACTCCTGAAGAACCTTTTGTTGTTGAGGATGAAGGTGAAGGTAACTTTCTCCTATTTTCTTTTTGTGCTTCCATTACTTCATATATAAATATGTGTGTGTGTGTGTGTGTGATTTTCGGGGGTTGAAGCTGTTGCTGATTTTCTTTACTTTTGTAGTTGAGGTGAAGTCGGTATATGTGAGAAATGTCCCAACGAAGATGTCTGCTTCTGAGATTGCAGAGGTGTTCAAGAAGTTTGGTAAACTCAAGCAAGATGGCGTAGCCATTAGAACTCGGAAGGTGCGTTTTCCTTTTTTATTTTTCTCTCTTTCTTGTTTATTTTTTTTTATTGTCTAGTGAAGATAATTACTGAAGCCTTAACGCCGTCTAATATGCAGGATATAGATATATGCTACGCATTCGTCGAATTTGAAGACATCGTGGGGGTGCAAAATGCAATTAAGGTTTGAGCATATATATTTTAGTCTGGGCAATTCCAATAAAACGTAATTAAAAATATAAGGAAAAGTAAAAAGAGAAGAAATAATGTTTATGTAGCTCTTTCTGTACTCTGCAGTGTATTTATTATGTTTGTTGAAAATATAGGCCTTTAAATGAATCTTTCCCCTTATCGCTTTTAACAAACTAAGCTGCTTCCTTTTGCCATTTCTTTGACACGATGCACCACTTATATCAGACGCATGGTTTTACTTCTATCATCTACTGGAATTAAGTTTAAGAATTATTTCATTCCCGGCATATTTGCAATGCGCATATACCTTTGATTTTTACTTTAAGAGTGATAGTTATATTTTTCTTTTCCTAAATGTTGTTCTGACTTGACTGGAATTTTGATTTTTTATCTCAAACCTGAAGTTAAATTTACTGAACCCACTAATATTACATTTTCTTTTGCTTGTAGGCATCCACCGTTCAGATTGGTGCGCATCAGCTGTACATTGAAGAACGGAGGCCCAACAGACAGATCACTTTTCGTGGAGGCAGTATGTTTTTTTTACACTTATGTTTAATGCTAGGATTCACCTTTGGTTTTCAAATATTTGGTATTGAATTTTGTTGCATTGTAACCATCTCCATTCATGGTCGCACTGTTCGAGCCAGTCAATTCAATATCAAAAGCACTACTCAAGTTAACCTTCAGTAGAAAGGTGCATTTTTCAGAAGAAAATGAAAAAAGAAAATGATTAAAACTGTTCCAACTTCTTTTAGTTTGACTTATTTACATACACAACATTTTTCTGCATATACAAAGCATTCTTTTATTTGCTACTTTTGGTTCTCAACTACTTTTCACTTCTGTTACTACAGTAAGGCAAGGCTAGGCTAGGCTATGTTTGACTAGCTTCTATGCTTTTTGTATTCAAATAAGATTTGCTTGGTTGGACGAGTTTTTTTTAAAAAAGTTGGAGCTTATCTCATAAACTTCTTTGGGTAGCTTAGCTTTTCAAATAAGCTCGTTGAAAATTTTGTTTCAACCATTTTTACCAAACAATTTTATTCTAGCTTTTCAGTTATAAGTCATAAGCTATAAGTTTGAAAATCACTTATCAATTATAAGCTAACTTATAACATAGCCTAGACCAATGTCACTAAACTCTTGATGTTGGCTCCTTGCAGGAGGCAAAGGTGGTGTTAAAGGACGGTTTGGGTACCACACGGAAGGAGCACGAGGTCGTTTTGGGGGCCGTGGTTTTGGAAGGGGGCCCAATCACGACTCCTACGAACGTGATTATTACTACAACAGGTCAAGAGGGAATGGGTACTACAGGCAGGCCCATAGACACGAGAGGTCTTACAATGCTACGGACTTCCAACAAGGTTACGAGGAATGAGCGCACGTTTCGAAGATCGGGAAAAGAATGTGATGTCTTAGAACACGACTTGGCTGGCTGCTGCATTTTTATCTCTTTCTTTTTTGGTTATTTTACAAAATCAGAGAATTGGTATTAGTGCTATGCTTATGAGATATGCTCAATCTCTTTTTGGATTTTTTATACACAATACAATAGCCGTTTTGTTTTATTAAATAATAATTTTGGGTTTGAAACATTGCAAGACTACTTCTTGATCAATCCTTATGTTATGTGGTCATTCATATTTTTATAATGCGTTAAATTAAATATTAGAAGACATTGACCTGTTTTATTTCTTTCTTTCTTTTCTTTTTTAACCGTACATCTCTGTTTTTCTTTTGAATAAAAGGCAATTTATCTGAATACAGATACGCACATACAGATAACTGCAGAGTATCTGAATACAGCAAATTAAAAAAAAAAAAATTGCAACTTTCTCAAATTATTGATCCCACATTGCCCAATTCTTGAAAATCGGTGAGAATCGGATGAGAAAATAGGCTGCAAATCCTCTTAACAGAAGCCGCGATGCCACGACTTTCTACATCTGTTGTTATTTCCAGCTTCGAAGAGAGTTTCAAATTTCTTCTGCATCTGTCTCCCACAAAAATTTAGCGTATGCCGCCAAAACATTGCTGAAACGAAACCATAAAGAACCAAGATTAGGAAAATTTCAAAAGTTGAAACGATAATACACCAAGATTAAGAAACTTCGGAAGTTGATGATAACAAGGTCATAAAATAATAGAACATTTTAGCGTTTTTACCTGTCTCCTGGGCTTGCTAAAACCGCCCGTTCAAAATGTGCCATTGCTCTGTCTTTGTCTCCATGCAGCTGCCACAAAATGTTTGCATATAAACAAAGCATCTGCCCATCGTTTGGATCCTCTATTATGGCGCGCGAACAATATTCTTCGGCCCCACTAAGGTTACCCCTCGACTGTCGATGAATATTGTCCAAAATGATTCCCACTTGAGCCAAAATATCAAAATAGCAAACGGGAACATTTTCGAATCCCAATTTTGGAATTACAGTTATTCCTTAACAAATGAATTATGTTTGTCTATTATTTGCTTGTTGAATTTTGAATAATTTTAAAATCTTTAATTCATTTATAGAACCTGTTAAGACAGCTCACCGGGCATAATTTCATATGAAAACCAGTAAGTCTCAAAATTTGTTAGTACTGGAAAGTGGAACATAAATCAGTAATACCTGATGCAAAAAAATAGCATAGCCTCTGAGACTCGACAGATTATGGGGATTTTCCTCTGTCATCCTCTTGTAATATTCTTCAACATTACTACTCTCGTCCGAACATGTGTCTATGCAGTCAATATTCTGACCATCAAGTCCCAGCCCCACTGCAAGATGTAAAGGCGGGCTAGACGGCCTTTTCACTTCTTTAGAATACTCATCAACCTGTCATTTTCATAAACTAACTTCTATTCTCGAATCATGATTAAAAAAAATAGTACCTTTGAGGTATGACTTAATTACAAAAAAAACCAGTTAAGTTTATCTTTTAAAAAAAAAAAAAAGTAAAAATACAATACTGACAATCTTATGTTGACTTGCATAACCTTTTTTTATTTGAAAAAAAGAACAACAACAATAGGCCGTTAAAATCCCACTAAGTGGGGTCGACTATATGGATCACATGTCACCATCGTACTCGATCAAAACACATGTCCTCATTCAGATTTTGAAAAAATTGAATTCTTTCATTTTAAAAAAACACTACAATTATGAATTAACCCCTTTAACCTACGAATCATGCTACATGTACCCCTTGGTGTACCACTTCGTTTACCTCCAAGGGGTACATGTACCCATTTATCCTTAATGAATTATTTAGTAAATTATTCATTAAGGGTAATGGGTACATGTACCCCTTCGATGTAAACCAAGTGGTACACCAAGGGGTACAAGTAGCATTATTCTTAACCTTAACACCAAACCTTATGGGAAGTTTTTGTGCTTCTGAAATTAACGAAGTTCTTTGGTATTAGGCCACACACCTCTAGGGTACTTTTTCAAAATTATCCTTTAACCTAAGCTATTTGCAGAACGGCAACTACCTGATTACTAGGCCACCTTTCTTCTTCGTCACTTTCATCATCTATATTCCACATGAAACTTGCATATGCAGCTAGAACATTGCTGATAACAATAGAACACTTGAAGTTAGACGCTGATGATGAAATCTTTAAGGTTTAAAATTATTCCAGAAAGATATCAAGGCACTATCAACATCATTTCACCGACTTTTTCCCCCTTACAATGGCCGTGTAGCCATAGTTCCTTCAGTTGCCTCGCCATTGGGTGGTTCAGCCACACTCAAATACTCGTGCGTGAATTAGTGTTTGAAAAATGGCTTAAGGAGTCGAGGAGAAAAAAGACCAAAAAAGAAAACTAAACATTTGGTGAACTCTTTATTCATTCAAGAACTCAAAAGCAAATCAAAGTTCATATAATCTTCGGGTCCTAACAACCAGCCAGCTAATATTCATTACCACCAAATGAAAGGATTAAATCGTCACGAATATGTGGTTATTCTGTTTACTGTTATATGACGATTAACTGTACCTATTCTCCGGGGCAGCTTGAACTGCCCTTTTGAAATAATGTGAGGCCTTAGCTTGATCGCCATGGATCTCCCACACCAACTTGGCATACTGTGACAACATCTCACCATCTTTAGGGTCCACCAACATGGCACGATAATAGTATCCCTCGGCACCGGAAAAATCCCTCCTTGACTGTCCATGACATTTCGTAGGGAGAAACAAAAAAATCAAAGACCGCATGGAATTTTAATCCTTGAATATATGGATTCATAAGCATACAATTCCAAGTAAATTACAAATTCTCCCAACTATTATAAAATAGTGGGAATTTTTTTGAACTCTCAAAGTGTGCTCGTTTTTAGACTTTTTTCTTATTAACTTTTTCCTTGATTACCTCCCAAAGTACATGATATGACAATTTGCCTCATCTACAAAAAAAACCCTAACATGACACTAAAAAATTTATAACTCAATTAACGATAAATTTTGAATCGATCTTTAAAATCGATTTAAGGCTTTGAAGTAACAAAATGAGGTATGATTTATAGATAAATTGAAACGTGGTATGAACGATGAAGAAGGTAGGCACACGTGTGTATAGAAAAAATTTCGGTTTAATTTTTTCGATTATCAAGATATCTAATTTTCGATAGGAAGGTGTCATTTGAAAAAAAAACCACATTAAAAGGTTTTTAACTCAATTGACCACTGTTGAATCGATCTTTAAACTTGATTTAGGGCTTTGAAGTCCATGACGACAGATCAAAAGAGGTATGATTTATCGATTTCTGAAAATACCTCATTTATCGATTTTTGAAAATTGAAACGTGGTAATCGATCGACGAAGAAGGTTGGCACACACCTGTATAGAAAAAACCTCGGTTCAACTTTTTTAATAATCAAGATGTCTAATTTTCGATAAGGAGGTGTCGTTTGAAAGCTTGCAGAACGAGTTTTCTAACGAGGTCAATTGTAATAGTTCTTTTTTCGGAATCGTAATAGCTTTATTTTTAGGCTACTAACCAAAATGTGATTGTTGAATTTTCATAAGATTTACATCTTGAAAACTTTCAAATGACAACCGATGAGGCAAATTGTCTTGTGTACTTCCGAGAGGTAATCTGTCAAGAAAAAATATTGCAAGACAAAATCTAAACGCAAGACTTTGGGATGGCCCCAAAAAAAAAAAAATTCCCTTTTTAGTTACTAAATATCCCTTTTTAGTTACTAAAAATCCCTGAAAAGGGTAATTATCAGGTAAATGCAAATCTTGAACACTTGCAGAGGTTTGAAAAACAACAGCAGCTTCTTTGTACTAAGCTAAAACTTCATGACACTGTTAATAATTATACCTAAAAATTTGGTTTCAAGCAAGAAAAGCTCCATATCTAAAACAATCAGATATCAAAAACAACCCGTGAATGATACTAATAAACAAATAAAAGAACAAACCTCCAAATACTGAGCATAGTTTCTCAAGACTAAAGGGTTTGAAGGATCTTTCTCAACCAATTTACTGAAATAACTATCCAGATCGCCATCACGGTCGAAATCCCATTCATCGAGACCTTGGAAGACCCTCTCATTTTCTTCACCATCATCATCATCTTCTTCAATAATCCGCATCGAGTTCGACTCAAAGCTGAACTGAGTGTCAATGGTTTTCCCAATCGCATCAGATCTCTCAATCTTCTCTCTGATTAAATCTTCATTCTCAGCTCCCTCCGCAAACTTATCATCTGTACTGTATATTGCAAATGACGGTTCTGTGTGCAGCATTTTTGAGTAATTTTGAACCTTTGAGGTATTGAGAAAGAGAGGAGCAGAATTAGGGCAAAAACTGAAAAAGGGGAAATGGTATTTGCAAGCTAAATAACTAATAAGCGTATTTATCATATAGAATAGCTCGGTACACCGGCTAGAGCGGCTATCTCGGTCTTGGCCGATTCAAGAGAGCCCAACCAATCCTTTTGTTTTCTAAATGTAAATTTATAGGATAAAATTGGAGTACAAACGACCGACAAATGACATACAAAAGTGCAGTGGGCAGCCACAAGTCCGGTTCCTCGCTCGCGAATAATAAGTCTAAAAGGGCAAACACAAGTTGGTTGCTCACTTAGTTTCAAAAATAAAACAAAAAGACAACTACCAAGTTTTTCAAGGAAGGACAAGGCTATACTCCAAGGGCTTTTCCTCTCATATTCGGCAAGCATGTTCGGGTACAATGCAAAAACTGTACGATAAACATGAGTTTGGATCTTACGGATTATTAAGCTCAGATGGGATTCATTTTAAAAAATCAACCTATCTCTCGCATTCCAAATGAAGTACATGGTAGCCGCGAGCGCCGCTTTCTTCAACTTGGTTTGCCAACTAACCCCTCATGCCTCTTTCTTAGTCCATTTAAAAGCTCCATTGAGTATCAATGGCCTATGACGGAGGCTAACCCAATCACGAATCACCGCCCAAATTTTCGAACTAAATGAGCATTCGAAAAATAGATGACCCGATGATTCTACAACGTCTCAACAAAGAGAGCAAGTCGGGTCTTTATCAAGGAACTCTAACCGGTCCTCTGTACGGAGACGATTGAGCATTCACAACCAAAGAATGAACGAGTGTTTGGGCATATTGGACGGGCCCCAAACAACTCCCGTCCATGGCACCAAAGCACCTCGGGGCCTTAAGAAATCATAGCAACTTCTCAACCCCTCTTGCTTACCTCATGAACTCCAACGATGAAAGGTTTCACGCCTTGCTCACTTCGCCCTTTGTCAACCAAGGCCCGTCAGATATCGAAAAGATATTTGAAAAGGAGCGAGTCATCCTTGTGTAATTTTCATTCCCACGCAGACTTTCCCCCCCAAATAAATATGTGGATCCATTTGTACCATAAGGTATTATTTTTAGCTTGCATATTCCAAGAGTGCGTGCAAGCAGTTGATTCCAAGCATTCAAATCACAAAAACCCAAGCCTCTTTCCGAGCGCGGGAGGCATAAGCTATCCCAAGCTACGAGAGCGCTTTTCGAGCCCCATAGACCGCCTACATAGTTGGATAATTTTGGTACGCACTATAGTAGACAAGTGGAAAATCTCCAACAAAAAACACTCGATACATTGTATCACCGAACGAATGAGTTCCACTCTACCAGCGTATAAGAGTGTATGGCAGCTCCATCGGCTAAGTTGCGCCTCGATTTGCTTAACCAAGCCATCAAAGATCCTTGCGGTGACACGCTCCGCGGTGAGGGGGACATCGAGGTACCGAAAGGACATTGGGCTACATTGCAAGTGCGTGTCATCAAGGATTGATGTCTGGTTAGCATCATTTACTCTAGCCAAGTAAATATTAGATTTTTGGACATTCATTTTTAGCCACGATTTAGCTCCAAAGTCCTTGAGACAATTCATGGGGATTTGGATGGATGATGAGTCGCTCGGGAGAGTAGCATACACTTGTTGAGGATTTAGCCAAGTTCGTCTTTGATACATATACTTGTTGGGGAGTTCATTTAGGTAACTCAGGGTACAAGTTGACACAACTGACATAGCTCGAAGGTCGGGAAACCTAGGAAGCTCAGATATAAAAAAGACATGATGGTATTTAGATCGTCGAGGTTGAGGCCGTGGTTACGATATGGGTAGGGCCTATGGCAGGTAGGTAAGGAGGTCGGACATGTGACCTCAAGACCTTAGAGTCGTGTAATAAGGGGGAGAGAATTCTTCATAGAAGGAATATGTATGTTGATAAGGACTTTCAAATTCAACAGACATGGCAAATAAGGAAAGTGGATACGAGAGAATCTATTTTCTATCTAGGACTCTTGATCATCATGCTCCCCAAGTATATAAGGGTAAACAGGTTCTCTACTTTACACAACACACGCGCACGAGAACTTGCATACATACTCTCGATTTTATCACATGCAAACACTGACTTGAGAACTTTTCTGTCGGAACCTCTTTCGACATCTTGCAGCTCGTCGGAGCTCCTAGCTGGTGCAGGCTTGTGGGATCGCTTATTGGTCTGTTCAAGGCAATTTGAACATCAATTAATTTAAATTAGGATCCTCACAAGAGTAGATTTCTCATGCCCACAAATTATACAGTCAATTTTATATTTGCAGAGACTATCTCATTCACCAACAAATTGAGTTCTTCATTAGACTTTATCTGAACGTCACACTTTCTTTGTTCGTGTGGTAGAATTTGATTGACCTCTCTTTTCTTTCTCTCACTGGAAACTTGTCAAAAGCCTCCAATGTCATGGACACGGGTTGCACCTAGCCAAAGTTATATGAAGCCCTCTTGTATAATGTGGTCCCCCTTCCGTGTGAAGTTACCCTCGAAAATAAATACGTAATGTGGACAAATCACCTTCTATATGTTCAAAATTAAAAAGAAATGTTTCAGCAGCAGAAATCACTTTAAAAAAACAACACAAATTCTTGTATAATGAACAGATTTCCCACAACAAATATATAATAGTATTTCTCCACAAAAGAAAAAAAAAAAAAGCAAAAAGATACATCATTTTTTAACAAAGTAGAGGCAACATGTAAGGTTAACGTAATACAAAAAAGTTCTTGTGGTCATTGTATATTACATTGCATACTAGTACGCACCCGTGCGATGCACATAATAATAATATAAAAAATATTTTATTATGGTTATGATGTGGGAAAAATATTAAAAACAATTTTATAGAATAAACATCAATATCATGTCTTGATTGATTAGTTGCACTAGTACATTTATGTATTGAACAGGATCACAGAGAGGAGAAGTTCGTTTATACTGATCGTCGTAAACGAACTAGGCCTCGGTTAATTCATGCTCTCTCTTAACCCGTAAGATATTAAATAGAGATATATATGCAGTATATATTATTTTGATTCTTTTTGTTGAGGTTCAGTTCGCTGAATTAATATTCCTACTGTCTTGGGTAATATTATTGTACATATGATGTGCTATTAGGATATTTACGGTAATCATGTACATTTAGTTTGATGATGTTCCCAAATTGAGTTCATGTAGGATTATTATGCTAAACCCTGCAGGTGGATTAAATTCCGACATAGTAATAATGTGATGAACGAACGCTAGCTTCGGTGAAATAATAATATATTAATTAATTCTTGATTATCAGTAATCGAATTAATTAATGGACATTATATCTTAAACATAGAGATGTAATTCAAGTAATTATTATTGGAGTCTCAACTGTAAATTGGGCTAGGAAAATAAAGTGCAATATTATGTTGGTGACCCATAATATTATTTAATTAATTGGATGAGTGGGTTTGGCCCACAATTGGTCTAATTAACTAAGGAGCCATATTCCTAATCTCCTAAGGGTCCTTACTGTTACCCTATATATACATCATTAGGCTCATGGAAAATAGAAGAAGATATTCGAATTCTCCTACGTGATATAATATCACACGCGTCTCTCTCTCTCTCTCTCTCTAAGTTTCTATTCAAGCTTTATCTTCTTCTTGTTGCTCAACCGATACAAGTAGAAGAAGTGTTTAAGATATACAGTAGAAGATCCCGATATAATTGAGACACATATATTCATCAACCCCGTGATCAGTTGGAGTTGACCCAGCGACGAACCCGACCCGTTAGACCGCACCCGACTAGCCAGACCCGCCGCGAGCCATCGCGACCCTATCGGACGGAAGCCGCTACCAGCCGGAGGAGCCGACATTCGCAACGCGCTACCCGGACGACCACGATGCGCCACCCGACGACCCGACCCGCAAACCCACGTGACCCGATCGGGAGCCCGACATTCCGTTCATGATCCCAATGTGTTCGTGTGCTCTTCCCGGTCAACCCAAATCCTCTAGATTCATAAAAAAAAAATTAAGCCGTAAGTTTCCTACGTCAAACATTTAGATCTGTTGCGCATAGGTTTACGTTTGCTATTGAGTTCGTAACTTGTACATAACGAGATCCTCATAGATCCCAACACTTATTACTTTGATTTACTTGAGTGAGATTCAGTTCGTTGGATCAATAGTCTTACTGTCTTGGTAATATTGATGTATGCATGATGTGTTGTTAGGATATTTACAGTGATGATGTCCCCGAAGTGAGTTCATGAAAGATTGTTATATTGAACCCTACAGGTAGATTAAATTCTGGCATCATAATAATGCAATGAACGAGCTCTAACTTTGGTAATATAACATATTAATTAATTCTTGATTATCAGTAATCAAATTAGTTAATGGGCATTATATCTTAAACATAGAGAGGTAATTCAGGTAATTGTAATTGGAGTCTCAAATGTAATTTGGGATAGGAAAAGGGAGTGCAATAATATTATGTTAGTGAACCATAATATTGTTTAAGTAATTAGAAGAGTGGGCCAGACCTACAGTTAGTCCATTGCTTAAAAAGTCCTATTAATATTCTCCTAAGGATCCCTACTATAGCTCTATATATACATCATTAAAGTTCATGGAAAACAGATCAAGAGGTCAGAATTCTCCTACGTGCAATTATATACACACATGCGCCTCTCTCTCTCTCTCTAGATTTCTATTCGACTTTATCTCCTTCTTGTTGCTCCACTGATATAAGTTGAAGAGGTGTGTGAGTAATACCGTCAGTGTTTTCAATAGCGTTTTTTAGCGCGCAATAGTGCAATCTCATCTGTTATCGCGACATAGCGTCTGTAGTTTTGCGTTCTTCCCAAAAAAGGACGCTAAATATGACTTGTCAGGTAATTTGCGCTATTCGTTACGCTATCTACGCAATCGCTCAAATTACTCAAGCAATTTGCAAAACTAAAATCGAGGAGAGAGAAACAGAGAGAGATGACCCGTCCATGGCATCTCGCCTGCATGAGAAGGAGCGCAACGCAGATTGCGAGTCGGAGGAGTCCACCATCAAGATCGACCACATCAAGGCTCTGTAAATTTTCGAAGAAGAGACTTACGGTGGCGAGGCTCTGTGATTTAATTCAATCATTTTTGAGAGTTTTTTTTAGATAGACGATAGCTTCTCTCTCTTCAATTATTCAGTTTTTGGAAAATTTCGAGACGGATGGATGATTAGTTCAACTTCAAAGCTTTATTCATTGAATTTTGGTTTAAAAATAATAAAAACAAAATAAAAGAGGGAGTGGGCCATGGTGAGGAGGACTGGACTGAGTTAAAAGAAAATGAAAAAGTACTTGACTAACTTAATTTATTGAATAATTATTGAATGTTACTTCTTATATTAATGTTAATTTTATGATTGAGGAGTATTTAAGTTAAAAAAAAACAAGAGAATTTAAGCGAAACACAAAAACAAGAAATCACAAACAAAATCGAGATGAAATAAAAATAACTAATCGAATAGGCGCATAAGTCAAGTCCTAAAACTTTCCCGGCAACGGCGCCAAATTTGTTGTTGCAAATTTTATTTTTTAATTTTTCGAGCACCGAATCAAAGATTCGTTCACCGCGTCGTATCTCAAGGAAAGTTTAGCCGAATTAAATTGTGCGTTTATTCGATTACAAAAAAATTATAAAATAATATCCTAAACATTCTAATCAATATTAGTGTGGAATTTTACTATCTACTAATTTTATTAATTTAACTAATAAACATAAAATTATAATTAAAGTAGTAAATAAATTCAATAATTATAAAAATCTTAAAGACAATAAGAATATAAAGATGATAAAAGTGTTAGGGAATTGAGAAATAATTGTTTTCAATTCTAATGATAAGTCCAAATTATTTATTGCTCGGTTAAGTGATTCGATAAACACACTAATTTAGAAGTTTATATTCAATAACTTTTCGTAACAAGAATTAAACATAAAGTTAATATATTTTCGTATCAAATAACAAATAAGCAATATAGTTACGAACAAGCTTACTCGTTTTGAGCCGAGATCAATTAACTTCTCTCCTCTCGGTTTAAAATTAATTAATTAGATTTAGAAGGTGCTTAATCAACCAAATCGTAAAAATAAGTATAACTCGAAACGATATGAACAATAAATAACATGACATCATCATCGAACCGAAACAATCATTTCCCTATCCCTAACGGAATAGGTTTAGCTCGTCATGATTTTACCGACACAAATAACAATAATAACCTAAGCTATCATCGTACTTACAGTAAAGTAACGATAACTTACGATTACTATTGAAAACTTGATGTCAATATATCACTAGAACTTCAATAAGATATAGAAATATCACTTACAAGATTATGTAAATCATATATAATAAGAAATTTTCATAAATGATGAAGAAATTTCAAGAGAAAAGAAGAAATTTTTTACAAGATTTCTAACTATTATTCACTTATGAACTTGATGATCTTTACATGCATGGATCACCTCTATTTATAGCTGAGAATTTGGAGTAAAATATAGCTAGAAATTAGCTATAGTTAAGGTTTAATCATCATCATAATAACACTCCATCATCATGCATTATAAAAGAACAGACAACTGCAGAAATCTGCCTAGTAGCGCCGCTACTGTGTCGGCAACTTTGCATGTTGTTACTGTTTTTGCTCGTCCGGGCTCGTTTGGACTCGGAATTAAGTTTCATTTTTTCCTGTGCGTTGCTAATGAACCCCTCTTTCCAATAATATGATCATACTCAAGAAATTTCTAAAATCCTATTCATCTGAGGTTTTCGTCCTATGCATCTTTATTGAAAGTAAAGCGAAAAATACCGGAAAACGAATACAGAAACATAAACATTATTTTGAATATTACAAATCACAAAATAAATGATAAAACCACCCTAAAACCTATAAAATGATTTAAAATGGGGTAAAAGAATAATAAAATAATAACTAAAAAATACGTAACAAAAATAGGACAAACATATATCATAAAAATAAAATAGTAACCCACAATAAGTAGCAAAAAAAATTGATGCCCATTTGTGTAAAAGCTTCAATTTACATTCCAACAACAATTAAAAAAAAAAAACAAAAAAAATTGAAGATAAATATCGTAAAAAAGGTAACCTAATATTGAATATCCAGTCTAAGAGGCACTCAACAACAAAAAAGACATGCTAGCAGGTGAAAATTGACAACACAAATTAACAAGAAACACTAGAACACAAAATTAATTGATTTATGGAAAATGTTACTCTCTCACAACCATTTTATCGAGTTTGTTACCGTTAGATCAACTATCTCTTACCGTTACATAATGATTCAACTGTTATAAATTTTCACGGAATTGTTCGGGAGATTATATTTCCCTTTATTTTTTTTTTTTGGTACAAGGACCTTCCGGTTTTCGGATCTACAGGAGAACCGACTAATCCGAAATCGAGCGGGTAGGACCACAAGGGCGGCAAAGCTCTCCCTCAAGAGTTTTAACACTGCTGCATTCCCAGGGCTCGAACTCGAGACCACTGGTTAAGCTGGAAGAGACCCAAGTCATCTCATCCAAGCGCTCTTGGTATATTTCCCTTTATTTAAACACAAACCAATTGACAAATGATGAATTTTCTCGAGCATGTAGTTCCATACTAATTATAGTACTTTTTTCATAATTAATTCTCACTCCTCCATTTTCCCCTTACGTCCGCTAAATTTCATGTCCTCCCTCTAGAGAGAGAAACGCCAAATATCATTGTTCTTCTTCTTCTTCTTCTCCACATCAGCCATCCACCCCTTTCTCCGATCGGCGGCGGTACACCACAACCGCCGACCTCATTATTAACCCTCCTCATCTTCACATATAATATTTATTAATAATTAAAAAAAAAAAAAGAAAAATGGGGCCGAAGAAGGGTTTCCAGCTCCTGGAGATAAACGTGATATCAGCCCAAGATCTGGAACCCGTGTCGAAGAAGATGCGGACGTACGCAACGGCGTGGATGAACCCGGGGCGCAAGCTTTCGTCGTGCGTGGACACGGAGGGGAAGAACAATCCTACGTGGAATGACAAGTTTGTGTTTAAGGTGGATGAGGAGTTTTTGAGGCAGGACACGTCTGCGGTGATGATCGAGATCTATGCCGTCCACTGGCTGAGGGACGTGTTGGTGGGCACCGTGCGCGTCCTCGTCGGGAATCTTATCCCCCCTCCCACCCGCTCCCACGCCCAAAATTACACCGGGATGCGTTTCGTTGCTCTTCAGGTTAATTTAATTCAATTACTCATCATCATGTGAATATATATTTTGGCGTGATGATAATATATACATTTTTTTACGTACGTACCTAGTTTTCATCTTTGTGTTTGCAAATAGTTATGAGAAAAGATTTAATTATAATAAGAAAAAGGCGAAAATGCAATTCTCATCATGGTTGGCTTAATATTTCTTGTCATATAAAATTACAAAAAGAATAAATTACTTTTTCACCAAAACTGCAGGTGCGCCGGCCGTCCGGGAGGCCACAGGGCATCCTCAACATCGGGGTGGCGTTGCTCGGTTCCTCCATGAAAAGCATGGCTCTTTACCGCCAACTGAGCATGTCGGCAGTAGGGTTTCGAGACCTCATGGAGGACCCCCTCAGCATCCAAAACCTCCAAGAAAGCAACACCACCACCACCACCAACGTAAAGCCCATCTTGCTCCGGTCCAAGAGCGAACGCAGCGCCCTCGACCACCTCTCGACCAACGGCTCCTCCATCCTCAACCCCAAAACCAAGGACACCTCCATCCTCAGCATCACCGACCGCTACAACCCCTTCTCCAAATCCAAAGTCGGCAAAGCCAGCTCCGTCATCAGCGTCCCCAACCCTCCGCAAGTCCCCACCAAAAACACCAAATCCGGCTCCGTCCTCAGCGACTCTATCCTCAGCAAGGAGTCCTCTGGCTTCCGCCGCATGGCCGCCGACAAGACAGTCGACGAGAAATCCCTGGTTAGAAAACCGAGCCCCAACAAGGAGAAGCTGTCGTTGGCCGTGCCCAAATACAACAACTACGTGGGGGGCAAGAAGGGGAACTCGGTGTGGTCCGACTCGGAGGTGGGCCCGTCGCCGTCAGAGGTGGCGGCAGCAATGATGATGGCGGAGCGCAAGTACCCGCTCGATGACAAGCAGAGCTCCGTGCTCGACGGGTGGAGCGTGGACGAGAGCGTCGAGGGGCTGAGGTCGAAACTCGAGCGCTGGAGAATGGACCTTCCGCCGCTCTATGACAGGGCAGCCACTGGAGGAGGTTACTCCACCAGCAGCTACAAGTCGTCTGGAAGGCACACGCGCAGGCATAGTGATGGCTCCACCGGCCTCTTCTCTTGCTTTGGGAACATATTCGGGTACGAGTGCCAGTGCATTTGCGGGAAGCCACCGGGGAGGAGGAGCCGTAGCGCACGGTTTCAGAGCCCGTCCACGCTCACGCCTGGCCGCTCCTTTATTTAAACCCAAGGAATTCAATTTATTTTTGGGGTGCTCCTATCTCACTCTCTATACTGTATTTATTTTGTTTAGCTTCGATTAACTTGTGACTCAAATTTATTTATCTTTTTTATTTTTTCTTTCAACTTTTCAAAACCATGTGTGTTTTAAATATTTGCAATTTGTTGTTGTTGTTGTTGTTTCTGTGATGAGTTGCAGTTTTTTTTGGTTTGGGTTTGTTTGTTTTTGGTTTGGGTTTGTTTGTTTTTCTGGATATTGGATGATGTGAAGGAGTTGAGGGTCTTAATTAATGGATTTTTACTGTTATGTTGGTGTTGTACTTGAAAGAATTCATCCATATGTCTTTCGTCTCTTTGTGTTTCATTCCATTAGTTACAGAGAAATGCTACGGTCAGGTTACGGTACCATCCCGTCGGGTGTTTTAATCGTTAGATCATCTATTTATCTAATTATAGGTGGATCCAACGGTTAAAACACCCGACGGGGTGGTAGCGTAGCATTTGACTTAGTTACATTACATATTTATAAATGTGAATTTCTATTATTACTAAGAGGACCGTAGCATTTGACTTAGTTACATTACATATTTATAAATGTGAATTTCTATTATTACTAATTTTTTTTTATCAAGTTATACATTATATTATAGCACATTATAATACTAGTACAACGCTCGTGTATTACACGAGTGCTTGCTATTTCCTTAAAATCTAAAATTAATGAGAAAAAATAGTTGAAAATTTAAATACATTTTATTAAAATATAATTATTATATATTTAGTATGACATTTTTTATTTGCGTGATTTACTTGTATTATATTTTAATAATTTTTTAACTTACAACATATAACTACATTAAACATAAATATATCAACTGAGAAATAATTTTATTTTTCTTATAAATTTTAATAAATATTATTATTTTTTATTATTTTTTATTATTATATAGATAAATATAATTTATTTATTTTATATATACAATATGGATGTCAAATCGAAAATAAATGATGATTAATTTGATATATTATATATGTAAAACCGATAAGAAATACAAAAATTATCAACTTTTAAAATACATTTATATTGAAGGAAGCAAAGGGATATATTAGTCACTTAGGGGGTGATTGTTTATGGTTTGAATAGTAAAAAAACTAGAATTTTTTAATTATGGTTAAGTTTAAGAAAAAGTTGTATGGTTAGTTGTTAGTGGATATATTAAA